ACTTCATGGGACTGAAAAATTACTTGGGTGGGCTAAATTGGGATGTCCTGACTATGGGTCAGGTAGGTGATCTTGGTTGCCAATATGACGTTTTTCAGAGCATAGTACTAGCTGCCCAGACAACTTTTGTTCCGAGAACGGAAATTAGATCTAACAAAAATGATCCCAAATGGATGAACAATAGATTAAAACATCTCATTGGTCAAAATGAGGCATATATATAGGCGTATCAAAAGAGGGGATGGACAGTTAAGAAATCAATATATTCAATTAAAGAGAGAAATAAAAAAGGAATAATAAAAGCAAAAAGGGATTATGAAGCTAAGGTCGCAAGGGATTCAAAGACTAACCCAAAAGGGTTCTTTCAGGTATACAGAAGTAAGATTAGGGACAAGATTGGCCCACTTAAGAGTAACTCTGGTCAGATCACTGACAGTGATAAGAATATGTGTGAAATTCTACATACCTACTTCCTCTCAGTTTTCACCCAGGAAAATACTAGCGATATTCCTGAAATAATAGATTATGTAGAACAGGATGATAAACTATGTACGATTGCGGTAACTAGTGACATGGTCCTCAGATAAATAGAGAAACTAAAACCTAACAAATCCCCAGGTCCTGATGAACTGTTTGCAAGGGTGTTAAAGGAATGTAAAGAGGAACTTAGCATACCTTTGGCTAATCTTTTTAACATGTCACTACAAACTGGCATAGTGCCTGATAAGTGGAAAATGGCAAATGTAATACCTATTTACAAGGCAGGTGACAGGTCCTTGGCTTCTAACTATAGACCAATAAGCCTTACCTCCATATTGGGAAAATTTATGGAATCAATAATTGCAGAAGCAATTCGTAGCCATCTTGACAAGCACAGATTGATTAATGAATCTCAACACGGTTTTACAAAGGGGCGTTCCTGTCTTACGAATTTACTAACTTTTTTCACTAAGGTGTTTGAGGAGGTAGATCATGGTAATGAATATGATATTGTGTATATGGACTTCAGTAAGGCTTTCGATCGAGTTCCACACCAGAGGCTATTAAGGAAACTTAGGGCACACGGAATAGGAGGAGAAATTTTTATCCTGGGTAGAGGCATGGCTGACAAATAGACAGCAAAGAGTTCGCATAAATGAGGAGAAATCAGAATGGGGGCACGTCACAAGCGGTGTTCCTCAGGGGTCAGTGTTGGACCCGTTGTTGTTCACAATTTACATAAACGACATAGATGAGGGAATAAATAGCGACATAAGCAAATTTGCCGATGACACCAAAATAGGCCGTCCAATTAATTCTAATGAGGACATTAGAGCACTCCAGGATGATTTGAATAGACTGACACAATGGTCGGAGAAGTGGCAGATGCAGTTTAATATTGACAAATGCAAAGTTCTAAATGTTGGACAGTTAAATAACCATGCCACATATAAACTAAATAATGTAGATCTTAATACTACTGATTGCGAAAAGGATTTAGGAGTTCTGGTTAGCAGTAACCTAAAAGCAAGACAACAGTGCATTAGTGTTCGCAATAAAGCTAACAGAATTCTTGGCTTCATATCTAGAAGTATAAATAATAGAAGTCCTCAGGTTGTTCTTCAACTCTATATATCCTTGGTTAGACCTCATTTAGACTATGCTGCTCAGTTCTGGTCACCGTATTACAGAATGGATATAAATGCTCTGGAAAACGTACAAAGGAGGATGACAAAGATGATCCCATGTATCAGAAATCTTCCCTATGAGGATAGACTGAGGGCCCTGAATCTGCATTCTCTCGAAAGGCGTAGAATTAGGGGGGATATGATCGAGGTGTATAAATGGAAAACAGGAATAAATAAAGGGGATGTAAATAGCGTGCTGAAAATTTCCAGCCATGACAGAACTCGCAGCAATGGTTTCAAGTTGGAAAAATTCAGATTCAGGAAGGATATAGGAAAGCACTGGTTTGGTAATAGAGTTGTGGATGAGTGGAACAAACTCCCGAGTACATTATTGAGGCTAAAACGTTGTGTAGTTTTAAAAATAGGTTAGATAAATACATGAGTGGGTGTGGGTGGGTGTGAGTTGACCTGACTAGCTTGTGCTGCTGGGTCTGGTGCAGTGGTCCATCCTTGAGTGGAGATGACCAGGCTGGGTGGGTCATTGGGATAACCCGGGGGGTGAGTCGTTGGTCTAATCTGGGGGGGAAACATGGACCTGCTCCGCTTGGGTCAGTAGGCCTGTTGCAGTGTTCCTTCTTATGTTCTCTCCTGGCTCTTCTAATGTCGTTGGGTTCAGTTCCTCTAGTCTCTTGGACTTCATTTCCCTTCAATACTAGTCTCGTTGCAAACCTTCACTTTCTCTTGGTTCCTGACATGCATTGTCGGATGTATGGGTTCCATATGTATGGAACCATACACGGAGTCACGCATAATTCTTTTTTGAGATTACTGAAACGTATACTCAACTGATGTGCGCCTCGATCATCTAGCTTTCTTCCCCTTCCGACAATTTTTATCACATTTACTAGCTTGGTTTAATTTCCAGTAGCCACTTGTCTGGCCAGTCCTTCAGTTTGTTTACACACACACACACACACAACACACACACACACACACACACACACACACACACACACACACACACACACACACACACACACACACACATATATATAAACCTCCTCCCGAGGTTTATTTTCATTAATCTTACATTATCTGTGGACAGGGATACAGGGGACTTAGCTTTTTCCGACACTATGTTTACATATACCAGAAAAAGTCCTGGTCCCAGTAGCAATCCTTGTGGAATTCCACTCGTCACACTTGTCCATTCATACACATCTTCCCGGACTATTACGCTTGTCTCCTTGGTGTGTGTGCGTGTGTCAACACTACAAAGCAACACATGAGTCAGATTGTAAATCCAGCATTTTCGCTTCTTGTCTTTCCGGGAATACTTGAGAGGAGAGTTTAATAAATGTAACATGTTAATGCAACTATAATTGATGTACTCGTTTATTGATTGCAGTGACGTACTGACATCATATGGTGATGAAATGATAAACAAAAAATTGAAAACTTATCGAGTTCCTAAAATAGTTTTTTAAAGAGTTCCTGAAATTAAGAACTCGTTGATAATTATGTATAATATTTTAAATAAATATTGTAAAATTTGTCTTGAAAAAGTAATATCACTGGTAGAAAATAAATCCCAGAGAGAAAGAAAAAACGCAAGGAAAGAACAACGCAGGAGAGATGATAACTGAAATAACTTAGTGAATATGGAAAAATGGTACGTACAATATTATATATATATATATATATATATATATATATATATATATATATATATATATATATATATATATATATATATATATATATATATAAAGTTTTTTGGGGGGTTATTTTTAATCGTAAACCAGTTTTATATTTTAGCTTTTATGTTGTTTTATAAGAACCGGGATTTTTTTTTTAATATTTTGAGTTTTTTTTTGTTACTGGCGTTAAGTTAACATTTGTAAGGAAGGGTTAGTTATGTAGAAGCAATATGCCTGTGTTTTATTTAGAATTTTTTAGTTAGTGATTCGCACCGCAGTCGTAGTTGACTGTAGAACCACAGCTGATGTATAGTTCTTGAACTACTACTGATGCATATTTGTTAAACTACAGCTGATGTATATTTGTTAAACTACAGCTTATGTATATTTGTTAAACTACAGCTGATGTATATTTGTTAAACTACAGCTGATGTATATTTGTTAAACTACAGCTAATGTATATTTTTTGAACCACACCTGATGTATCTTTGTTGAACCACACCTGATGTGTTTTTGTTGAACCACACCTGATGTGTTTTTGTTGAACCACACCTGATGTGTCTTTGTTGAACCACACCTGATGTGTCTTTGTTGAACCACACCCGATGTGTTTTTGTTGAACCACATCTGATGAGTATTTGTTGAAGCACAAGTAATGTGAGTTCCTGTAGTTAGTTAATATTTTCCCTTGTAACCTTAAAGCTTTTGGTAACTGTGCTAATCTTAAGTTAGTTTCCTGGACGTACGCTTACGTCGGGCTAGCTGAATATTGTTTGTGCTTTTCAATAAATAATTTGGCAAGTGATAGTATGTATATATATATATATATATATATATATATATATATATATATATATATATATATATATATATATATATATATATATATATATATATATATATATATAATTATACACTGTAGTGTAGTGGGTATATTGTATATCCCAGTAAGTCTAGAGTTAATTGTTCCCCTACATTAAGTAATCCTAAACATTGCTAGTATGGTTTGTCCTGATTAGTTAGTGTTGGTCGTTTATGCATTTTTTTCCAGCCGGGGATTGGATCCCTGGACCTCGCTGATGAGAGCCCCGACTCTTACCAATAAGACTCTTTATTAGTAAGACTTACCAGTAAGACATGGCGGTTCATATGTTAGTTTATATAACTCACCTGATCTTCTGTATGAGCAAAACTTGCTTATAAAAATTCACTTTTCAGTAGAAATTTTATCATTTTCTGACTTTGAGTAATATATCAGATGCCAGAGTCTTGAATGCTACGAGGTAAGAGAAGAATATTAACTAATTAGATATTAATATTCTAGTAATTGTAATGGTCTTTTAAAGCTAATTTCAAAGATTACTTATATTCCTAAATCATTAAGAGACCTGCTGCAGTTGTGTAGCATGAATTAAAAACAGTTGTTGATAAGAGAGTAAAGTTATAAGTTGTACTGAGTTACTGAAGGAAAGTTAGTGTGAGAGATCAGCAGCTGTAATGAAACTACTAACCAATTCCACAAGTGATGATCCCTTTCCCAAATGTTGACGCTACTTTGAGATATTCCATGAATAACATAAAGCCTCATGCAGACTCCAACACTCACATGTCATCTCTCTCTCTCTCCCCCTCCCTCACCTCTCCCCTTCCCTCCCTTTCCACCTCTCTCCCTTCGCCTCTTCTCTCCTCCATCTTTCTGTCCCTCTCCTCACTTCCTCTCCCCCTGCTTTCGCCTCTCCCTCGTTTCTCCGTCACCTCTTCCTTACATTTTCCCTCGCCCCCTCGTCCTCTTCACCTCTGGCTCACCACTTCCACCTCTCCTTCACCTGTCGCTTGCCACTTTCACTTCTCCCTCACCTGTCTCTCTTCCTCACCCCTACCCACCCTGGGTCACTGCTCCGCCTCAGGATGAAGTCGAACCAGAGATGGCTGAAGCTGCGGACAACGGTACAGCTGTCAGGGGCGCTCTCCTCCTCGATGAACAGAGCCAAGCCTCCGCTCAAGCGCGAGGACTCCTTCATCAAGCGCTTCTCCACCAGGCAGATCGCTGAGGTCCAGGTACGTCCTTCCATAACACCTTATTCCCAATTCTGTTTTACTAAAATTCAACACGTCAGGAATGTATTGCTGCCCTATTCTGTAGTAGGAGCAAATGTTAGCTTTAAAGAATGTTACACAAATATCTCAATCTTCAACTTGTCAGTTTACTTGTCATTTACATCACAAAAAGTTAGCATTCTTTGCCTGTCATATTCCCTCGCACAGGATGGGTTTCCTGGTGGTGAAATCTGTCAGCCTCAGCTTGGAGACTTCAGTAGGGCAGTTAGGAAACCTAGAGGGTATTCCTCTGTAGGCTCAGTAGCTGTGAGATCCTGACGGTGTCTGATGGTGTAGGGTGATGGGTGACTATAGTGGGTGTTGGTGGGTAACAGTTACTCTGGTGAGGCCGCCAGTATCCACTAGTCAGAAAGTTAAGATTTTAGGTATATACCTGGTGGAGTATACCTTGAGGATGTTCCGGGGGTCAACGCCCCCGCGGACCGGTCCGTGATGTTTTAGTAATTTGTTATTCTTGTGGAGTTCACAAGAGGTTGAGATGGTGCGCGTCATGGAATCTAAAATTTATCGTGTGATTTGTGACGTTCTGACTGAACGTAGATTATTAAACATGATTATTTACCTGATTTGTATAGCTTAATTAAAAAAAATGTTCTTATGTGATTATTGTAAGTCTTAAATGAAAGCTCAAGACGTACAGATAATATTTATACAGAGCGCTAAATCCGTGTGTCATTTAGCGCAAGGAGTGATAGAGCCTCGATTCTCCGTCCGCTGAAAAACAGAGATGCTAAGTGTGTTTGCTTTATTTATCGTAAAATACAAAGTACAAGTCGCGCATCATGCTTGCAAACTATTATTAATATTGATATTAAGGAGTTTGCTTAAGTTCAGATACTGTGTTGATTTTCATCGTTGTATTCCATTCATGAAGTTTTTGAGTCACTATAGAAATGTTTCATTACATTTTTTTCCACTGTTCCCGAGAGGTTAATAATGCTAAAAGTATTGTTACATTGTTGTTGAAAAACTTCAGAATTTAATTCAGTGTGGACGTCCCCAGGAGTATTACCTCGCTACACTTCCAAGAATTCTGAAAATTCATAAATTACAACTTTGTGAAATAGTTTGGCTCCAGTTAATGGAAGATTTTTTTTTTTTCATTTATAAGAAAATGGTAGCAATGTGGCGTCCTTTCTCTGTGTATGTATATTGCTCAGCATTTCTTCCCGAGAGTCTCTGCCGACAAAAGTAGACACAGACGCTGCAGAACAAGCTTTTGTTGGATTAACGTTTTGCTTTGTGTAATGTTTTCATAAATCATTAACACTGCCCGAAATGCTTTACATATTAAGCGGCTTTATGTTGAGCTTCCAATATATCGAATTATATTTGTATTATAATGGTAACCAAACGAACTGCCAACACAGTGACTCGCGAAATCGTAAGGACACGATTGCAAACCATACCACGGGCGGGGTTAGAACCCGCGTTCAGAGAGCGATTCAGACCGACGCGTTAACACGTCGGTCTGGAGTTTTATGACTCTCTGATCGCTGGTTCTAACCCCGCCCGTGGTATGGTTTGCCAAGACAGTGATTGTAACGTACATGTACGCTTCTTAGAAATAATTATGTATATATTTTTAAAATTCTATACAGGGCGAAACACTGTCCCAAGAAAAGTTTGTTCAGCGTATCTTTCCTTTATGGCTTTTTATTACTAATATATTTAATCACTAATATTATTACTGCAGTATTATTAACTTTACTATATTAAGGAATTTGTCATAACAACGTTCATAAGAGCGAACCAGAGAGTCGAAAAAAAGTGAGGGGCTTGGACTTCCAGCAGGCATGCATGAGCGTGTTTGATAGGAGTGAATGGAGACAAATGGTTTTTAATACTTGACGTGCTGTTGGAGTGTGAGCAAGTAACATTTATGAAGGGGTTCAGGGAAACCGGCAGGCCGGACTTGAGTCCTGGAGATGGGAAGTACAGTGCCTGCACTCTGAAGGAGGGGTGTTAATGTTGCAGTTTAAAAACTGTAGTGTAAAGCACCCTTCTGGCAAGACAGTGATGGAGTGAATGATGGTGAAAGTTTTTCTTTTTTCGGGCACCCTGCCTTGGTGGGAATCGGCCAGTGTGATAATAAATAAAAAAAATTAATATATGTGCAGATATACTGTTTTGTATTTGCAAAACGTACACAACAAGAGAAAGTAAACACATCAGAGGGATCTGTTCTGACCACATTATGCAGAGATCCATGTGCAGCGTTCCCTTTCCGGGGGTGGTCCTGTGTGGTGTTTGTGTGCTGTGTGGTGTGTGTGTGCTGTGGTGTGTGTGTGTGTGTGTGTTTTTGTGTGTGTGTTGTGTGTTACGTGTGTACATGCACGCGCAAGTCAAGATATACTTTATAATAGTGTTGTTTTCTAAGTCTAGAATTGTTGCCCCGTGTTATCTCTGTTGATGGTGCTTTATGTATTTTCTGGTATTTTATAGTCTTTTTATGATTATCATATTTCTGTGTCTAGGAAAGAAGGCGTTCTCAGTATTCTCATTCTTCGTAAATCAAGGCAGATTGGTTATTGCCTAACCTCTTTTGCTACAGAACCATTTTTCGCCTCTAGCCTCGCAAATCGTCTTGCTGTATTAACCCTATGGGTTTAGCTCTTGTCTTTTGCACATGAGAAGATTAATAATCATCAAATTTCTTATTATAAAACTTTTTTGTTATGAATATTTGACCAGACTTGGTTATTTGTATTGATTCCTTGAATACATTCTTTCGAAGTTCCTCGTTTAGTTTCTCATCTTATTTGTGCTATTCAACAAAAGTAACCAGTATCACTTTGTCTCTGCTACTTAACACAAGTAACAGCAGTCATTAACATAGCCTCTGCTGCTAAACGCAAGTAACTATCACTAACACAGCCTCTGCTGCTTAAGACAAGTAACCACTATCACTAACACCGAAGATACCCGAGAAAACTTTCTTAGTGACAATTCTGAATAAATTTTAAATCTAAGTCTTTAAAAAGGTGAGGAGAAATATTGTGTAAGAAAAATGCAAGAAGAGACGACGAAAGTAATACACAGATTTAGTCTTTGTTCTCTTGGTCGTGCAATTATTTATATTAAAACTACACACACACACACACACACACACACACACACACACACACACACACACACACACGCACGCACGCACGCACATGCATATACAACAGGCCTAGTGTCTACTCGATATGTGCCTCGGACAAAATAGCAACTAACACACACTGACAAATGGTAACTAACACAGAAGTCACCAAGTAGGTGAATGTCAGCGTGTAGTTAGGTGAAGGTGTCAGCAGGCAATTAGGTTGAAGGCGTCAGCACATAGTTGAATGTGTTAGCAGGTTGTTGTCGAATAGTTGAAGTGGTGGTCACTCGTCAAGTAGTTAGACAGGGCAGATCACTCAGAGTTGAAGATGGATGAGGTAGCCAGCACTCTGGGGATGCTGCAGACATTACACGAGAAGGAAGCTGAGTGTCAACCTGCCTGGGAAGATGACAGGGGAAGACAGAGGTGGGGAGATGAGACAGCGAAGGAACGGGGAGAGAAATGGGATGTTTGAGACTGGAAAATAGAGGGGAAAGACGTAGGGAAATAACGGGGAGAGAAATGAGGGAGATAAAACAGGAAAATACCAGGGAAAGAGGTAGAGATATGAGGTAGGGAAGTAACGGGCAGGGGATTGGGGGAAAGGAAAGCAAAGCAGCGGATAGAGGAAGAGAGAGGAATAGGTAACAGCAGGGAGAGATATGAAGATGGGGTAGCACTAGAGAGAAAGGAGGAGAGAAGCCCCGGCTGAGAATGAGACGAATAACAAGGAAAATAGAAAAATCTGATTGTCTTGTCGGAGAGAGGGAGCTGGGAGAGGCATGTAAAGGACACACACACACACACACACACACACACACACACACAACACACACACACACACACACACACACACATTCTCTCTCTATCCATCGGGAATTATAGTAAAAAAAATGGAAGTGTGTCTTGAGAAAGAGGATGGATCCCTCCCTGATAACATTAACCGCATATAGACGGAATACTGTGAAAGGATTGTGATGAAATTGTTGGGGTGTGGCAGACGTGTTGGGTATGGCAGACGTGTGGGGTGTGGCAGACGTGTGGGGTGGGGCAGACGTGTGGGTGTGGTAGATGTGTGGGGTGTGGCAGACGTGTGGGGTGTGGCAGATGTGTGGGATGTGACAGACGTGTGGGGTGTGGCAGACGTGTGGGGTGTGGCAGACGTGTGGGGTATGGCAGACGTGTGGGGTATGGCAGACGTGTGGGGTGTGGCAGACGTGTGGGGTGTGGCAGACGTGTGGGTGTGGCAGACGTGTGAGGTGTGGCAGACGTGTGGGGTGTGGCAGACGTGTGGGGTGTGGCAGACGTGTGGGGTGTGGCAGACGTGTGCATGACCGTGACATGTCAGTGTGAGCAGAACACTGAAGTGCTTGGACGCACATGGCTTTCTCCATCTAACAATACTGAAAAAAAGAGACGTGTTACTAGGACAGTGGTCCGCTCTGTGAGGAGCTTTATTAAGTTTGCTTACAACCCACCCACTGGAATGAGCAACCACTCTCTACTGTCCTAACACTCGAGAGTTCCACAGAGTCAGGTACACAAACCATAGGAAAGCATAAGACAAGGAAACCTGGGATGAGCTGTAAATAATGAACAAAGAGAAGATATATCCATAAGATATTTAATCAGACGAATTGGGACTAGGTTACCAAAACAGACTCTTGTGTTACAAGTGTCTTACGCTAAGATATCAAGTCACAGATACCACGTAAATTCCATGTGGATATTTTTTTTTTAAAGGGTTTGCAGTAAATTTCACAATTTACTTTATGTAAGTTTGGGTTTAGGTAGGTTAAACTGCCCCCAATCATTAAGAAATACCAACTTATAACATACCACAATGGCAATA